TTTAGACTCCCATCAATATTCGCCATCAAAAAACAACCCGCAATGCCGCAAGGGTGCTAGAAGAGAGAACATTATCCTCTACCGAGGGCAAATTCGTCAATTTTCTTTCACGTGTTCTTTTTAACCGCGGAAAACGGGAGACAAGCCCACGAGGCACCACCTCTCTCTCATCGATATATTTACCATTGAACCCTCAGGAAGAATATATATAATGAGGACAAAATCGTAAGAACAATTATTTTAGTAATAAAGAACTCTAACGTGCACCGACCGTCTCCACAACCCATATTGGAGACAGGAATTTTAAAATAACATTTCATTTGTTAATTCAATTTTAGGCTACGCCAAATTAGAGGGGGTAATGCTCACGTTAGCAGGTGCTAGACAGCGCCCGCCTTGCCGGCTTAACATTGCACATGATCAAAGTCGTAAAGTTCCACCGTCGGCTCAAGTTAGCGATTTGGAAAGGGCACCTGCTAACATAAGCGCAACCATTTCGGGCGTCAGCAACAAAACCGTTGCTCTACGTTACCTACTACGCGCTCACATTAGCGAGGAATAAAAACGAACAGCTACCGTGCACCTCCGCCCTTTCCCTGTCCGTCCGTACTCTACGACCGGCTCAATGCGTCGAGATCGGGGTCGCTAATTTGCCCCTGCATCCCTAACACACCGGCGCAAGATAGCCAGGATGCCAAGCTCGTGCTATCTTGCGCCATCCACCCCTCAGTCAGCAACATCTTCCGCCGTAATTCGAAACTCCTCCCCAAAGCGGCGAAAAACGGCTCCAAGCAATGAGCACGTGCGAGCTAGCCTGGCAATGGAGCCCACGCTATCTTGCGCCACTCATCGAAGCTAAATTCCGAATCTCGTAGAACGGGGAGAACAAATCTAAAGCTGAGGGGAAAGAGGAGGAGAAAAGAGGGCGGTAAGGTTACCTTCCGGTAGGTGGTGCCGTCGGGCTCAACGGTCCATCCAGCCTCGTCGCAGAGGGCCTTGAGGACCTCGTTGTTGTCGCAGTGCTTCGGGAGCTTGTAGTTACCGTAGGTCCTCAGACCCGCGTAGATCTTGGCGGCGATCGCTCGCCGCCGGCGCTCCCTCTGCTTGTTGTTCTCCCTCTCCTTCCACGTCGGCATCCTCGTCCCCGACATCATCGGATGCGGTCGGATCGAGTTGGGATCAGGTTTTCGCTCGATTGGTTGGTGGAGATTGTGGGGATTTTTATTTTTTAAACAAGTGATCAGATGAGATTCGTCGGCAAAGCTTGCGTTTTTCAAGGAGTTGGAGGGAGTTAAACTAATGGAAGACGAGCCATGAGTGGATGCCGCTTTAAACGCTGGGGTCCTTTTGCGCAAATGCCTATGAGCGACTGAAATTTAACGAGAATGCTACTACAGGGTCTTGGTTTTTCTTAAAAAAAATTCTTATTTTTTATTTTAATATTAGTCACACAAAATACTAAGAAAAGTTGGTCAAGACCCCACAGATAAAATCCTTATGTGCTACGGTCCCTTTATTTTTATTTTCCATCCATGTGATTCAAGTCTAAGAAATGTTACATCATGTGCCTCAGTCCTTTTTCATGTAATTATCATACGAATTAACTAAGTGCAAAGAGAGAAAAACAAACATAAAAGCCCAAAGTACCCTCAATTTCTCCTCCCTCTCCGTTCTCTCCGGATCTATCATATTAGGTCCAGTTTGATTCATGTTAAGTCTAGTTTAATTTTTTTAAGCCTAATTTAAATTTTTTTAAGTCTAATTTAAATTATGTTAAGTCTAATTCAACTTGTTTTAGGTCTAAAACTAAGTTAAATTAGAGTTAACATAGATCATATTAAGTCTATTTAACATGTTTTATGTCTAATTTTATGTTAAGTCTAATTTAATTTCTTTTAAGTCTAATTTAAATTATATTATGTCTAATTCAACTTATTTAAGTCTAAAATAAATTGAAATAGACTAACATGAATCATGTTAAGTCTATTTCAACTTATTTTAAGTCTAATTTCATGTTAAGTCTAATTTTACTTCATGTTAAGGTCAATTTGATTCATGTTAAATCTAATTTAATTCCTTTTAAGTCTACTTTTAATCCAGTTTAGTGTTAAGTTCAGTTTAGTTCATGTTCAGTCCAGTTTGGTTCATGTTAAGTCCAGTTTGATTTGAATTAAGTCTAGTTTAAATAGGGAGTAGGAATAGGATTAGGAATCCTACTTTATTTATGGATTCCAACATAATCCATAAAATTTTTATAGACAAGTTTTAGTTTTATGGAATCCTATTTTTTTGGCATTCTACGTTTGTTTCACCCAAAGGATTAGGAATCTTACTTTTATAGAATTGGTCCAATTCCAAATACCATGTTTGCTTCCAAAAGACCCCTTTTTTGGGAATAGATACTGTAGCGACAGCTAGCCTCTTTAACAATTAAAACCCAACTGTAGCAACGGCTAGAAGCACCGGAATTTCATATTTTTTGCTGAAAATACTGTAGCAACGGATATTTTCAGCCTCAAAACAGATTTCAAAAATAATATTCGGAGTACTGTAGCAACGGCTAGTAGAGGGCCATGGTGGCTATAAATTCAGCTTGTGGCCTCACAATTAATCCACAATTAATCCACAATTAATCCAAGCATTCTCATTTTCATCATTTATAAAATTTCCATTGTCTTCAATTTGCTGCCCCGACATGACCATTATATCAAAAGATTGCTGGCAGAATTATGAAGTTTATTGCGACTGCCATCTCCGAACACCGATGAAAGTGTGCAAGAATGGTAAAAATAAGGGTAGGTGTTATTGGGGGTGTGCAAAATTCCCAAATAAAGAATGTAATTTTTTCGAATGGGCTGAAGAAAGAGGAGAGTCATCAAGCAACCAAGGAAGCCAAGGGGGAGAATGTTGAATATCATTTCTCCATGATAATGTTTTGATGATAACAATTTATATTTTGTGTGCACTAACTTTCATATGCAGATTTCAATATCAGAATATGTACAAGTGCAAGTGAATATCAAGGCATTTTGAAGTGAAGAAAATGAAGAACAAAAGATAATGTATTTGAATTTTTCTTTGCTTAGAATATTTGTACAAGCCTTGATCACACACACGCACACACACACATTTTTAGAACACACTAACACAGGCTTAGTGTGTTGGTTAACTATAGAAATCCCCTATGTTAACCATTAGAATAGTAGTTAAAACTTAATTATAAAAACTCATTATTTCTGAATATTTGATCTTAATAGTCGACTAATTAGGATAGTAGTCGACTACTCATGTATATAACTCAAATACAAGTTTCTGTCTTTTTACAGTATAGTCGACTAATAGAGATTATAGTCGACTACTGAGATGTTTGACAGAAACATAAGTTTCTGTCTTTTTACAGTGTAGTCGACTAATGACTACAGTAGTCGACTACTGAAGAAAAATATAAGTTTTCAAGTTTCTGTCTGAACTCAGTGTAGTCGACTAATTATCATTATAGTCGACTACTGAGAACATTTTCCGAAAACACAGAGTCTGTCTGAACTCAGTGTAGTCGACTAATGACTACAGTAGTCGACTACAAGAGACAGTTTTTCAGTTTTCAGAATTTGAATATCTGACAGTTTTTGGCCGTTTTTAAACGTTTTCAAACTTTAAAAACTTGTCTTTTCAAGGGGTATATATAGGTTATTTGTTCAGAAAAATTGGAGAAATATACATACCCATAAGCTTTGATTCTTGAGCAATTTCCTAAGTGAAAAACATTCTGATTTTCTGAAAAAGAAGAGTTTCTGAAATTGCCTATATACTTTCATCAAAAACAAATCATTAGGCAATTCTACAGAAATTAAAAGTATCCTAAGTCACTGCTGCACTTCAATACACATTCAATGCTTATAGGATCATTGTGTTCTTGCTACAACAAGTTTTCTCTCGGTTGTGAGAGGGTTAATCTCTTGGCTTAGAGATTGGGGTTCAAATTGGCAAGGAGTTTGTCAATTGGTGTTGCAATTTGCAGGGACTTGCAAATTGGTCAGGTTTGCGTTTGATTTTGTAAGTTTATTCAAAATCATAGTGAAAACTCTCAAGCGGGATTTTCTTGGGGACTGGATGTACACCGGATTGGTGGAACCAGTATAAAATCCTTGTGTTTGTGTTTGTAAATTTCTGAGATTACCATTTTTTTTACAATTTATTATCTACTTTGCAATAGTTTTAAAAGAACACTATTCACCCCCCCTCTAGTGTTCTAGTGTATCTATTTCAGATCCTACATTTGGTATCAGAGCGAGGTGAAAGATGGCATCGTCAAATACATTACAATTCAAGGAAGGCCACTCTACAAATCGTCCTCCAATGTTCGATGGTTTGAACTACAACTACTGGAAGTGTAGGATGAAGATCTATCTCCAATCTCTTGGCTACGAACTTTGGAACGTCGTTGAAACAAAATATGAGAAACCAACAACTCCTTTCGCGGAATGGACTACATCTCAAAGGAACAATGCGAATTTGGATTCTAAAGCAATGAATGCCTTATTTTGTGCACTTGACAAGAATGAGTTCAATAGGGTGTCAACGGCCACATCCGCATATGATATTTGGCACACACTCGAGGTAACTCATGAAGGTACAAATAAAGTTAAAGAATCTAAAATTTCTATTCTTGTGCACAGATTTGAATTATTCAAGATGAAGGAAAATGAGACTATTGGAGAAATGTTCACAAGATTCACCGACATCACAAATTCTCTTATTGGTCTTGGAAAAACCTATACTCAAGTGGAGATGGTAAGAAAGATACTTCGTTCACTTACTCCACAATGGGAAAAAAAGTTACCGCAATTGAAGAAGCTAATGATTTGTCAACCCTTACGGTTAAAAATCTTATTGGTAATCTTATGGCATATGAAGTACAACTTGAAGATAGGAAGAATGATGAAGAATCTAAGAACAAGAAAGTTCTTGCATTCAATACTACTTCCGATAAAGAAGATTCAGATGATGATGATGAAGAAATGGGCATGTTTGCACGAAAATTTCGAAAATTCATCAAAAGAGGTAATTTTAAATTTAAGAATTCAAATTCAACTAACCCTCTTTGTTTTAAGTGTAATAAACCAGGGCATATGAAGAAAGATTGTCCAATGTTGAAGAATAAACAAAAATCAAGTTATTTCAACAACTTCAACAATATTCAAAATAACAAGAAAAGGAAAGCAATGGCGGTCACTTGGGATGATAGTGATGAGTCATCCTCAGATGAAGAAATTGAAGAAAAGGAAAGTGCTCACATGTGTTTCATGGCACAAGATGAAGTAAGTAAAAATGAAGAACTTTTAGATGAATGAAGAACTTTTAGATGCTTTCAATGAATTATATGAAACTTTTGTGAGATTAAAGACATCACATAATTTTCTTAAAGGTGAAAATAAAAGATTACTTGAAGAAATTTCTGATTTAAATTCCTCTATTTTTTACTAATTCTCAATTAGTTGAATTAAAAGAAGAAAATTTTTCTTTACTTAAAGAAAATGAAAATTTATCTAATGAAAATAAATATTTAAAATCAGAATGTAATAAGTTAAATATTCGAATTAATAGTTTAGATAAAGATATTTCTTCTTTTAAATCAAGATATGAAGATATATGTTTAAATGTAAGCAAATTTAATAAAGGAAAAGAAAATCTTAATAATATTCTTTCTTTTCAAAGAGAATCACAAAAGACAAAAGGATTAGGTTTTCAAATTAATAAAAACAAATCAAAGAATACAATTTTTGTAAAACCTTCTTGTGATTTGCATGATTATAAATATGAAAATTTGTATAAAAAGAAATCAAAATTCTTTTCTATTTGGGTTCCAAAAGAATTATCTTCTTTTAATAAGAATTTTTATATTTCTGATTTTATTAAAAATATTTGTTTATCATCTAATTATTTAAGTAAATCAAACTCTTCATGGGTTTGGTTTCCTAAAGGCTAATTTAAAGGACCCAACATAGTATGGGTACCAAAATGTAAATGTTTATTTTTTCAGGTACCCAAGAAAGATAGGTGGATTTTAGATAGTGGTTGCTCTAAACATATGACTGGAAATATTCAATTGTTGTCATCTTTTCAAAACAAGGATGGAGGTACCGTTACTTTTGGAGATAACAACAAAGGAAAAGTCATCGGTATTGGTTCCGTAGGTAATCCAAACAAACCTATCATTGATAATGTTTTATTAGTTAATGGTCTTAAACATAATTTACTAAGTATTAGTCAACTTTGTGATAAAGGTTATAAAATTGTTTTTGAAAAAGAATCATGCTTAATTTATGATATTGATTTAATAACCATTATTTTTA